TGAAGACAGAGATACTATGTGGGTTTTTTAGTTTTTTTTTTTTTTTTCTATTTTACAAGCATTTACAAGCATGAACATACTGAGCATACATAAAAATTCTACACATATTCTACACAATTAAACACATTATATGAGCTTTTACCCATTAAAATGACTTTTATTAGCATCAATGAGCGTTTATTATCAGTTAGTGTGAAATTAAACTTTAAATAATAAACATGATTTTTCATTTTTGTCTGAATATTGGCCAGGTTTGCATGTCCCCATTCATTACATTTACACTTTAATAGATTATATAAAATATCTACATTTTGATTTAAACTAATTTAAAATATAAATGGCTACACATTTTTAATTTCAATCCCAAAACATTTTGAATGTAACAGGTTTGGCACAAAAAATGTTTTGAAAGAAAAATGTCAAATGTCAATTCAATTATAATGTAAAATGTAACATAATCACACCAGAGTGATGCTACCAGAATTTACTAAAATGTACTAAAATTATAAATATCAAAATCTTGCACAAATTTGGCACAAATGGCACCCTTTGCTGAGAATGACCATTATTATATAATTGATTTAAAATTACCTTGTGACCACATACGCTACCGTTCAAAAATTTGTGTCTGTAAGATTTTTTGAATGTTTTTGAAAGACGTCTCTTATGCTCCCCAAGGCTGCATTTATTTGATCAAACATACCACAAAAACAGTAATATTGTGAAATATTTCAAAAAAGTGTTTTCTGTATGAATATATTGTAAATTGAAATTTATTCTTGTGATGTGAAAAGCTGAATGTTCAGCATCATTACTCCAGTCTTCAGTGTCACATGATCATTCAGAAATCATGCTAATATGCTGGTTTGATCCTAAAGATAAAGAACAGCATTCATTTGAAATATAAATATTTTGTAACATTATAACGTACATGGCAGCACTGTCACTTTTGATCGATTTAATGCATCCTTGCTGAATAGAAAAAAATAAAATAGCTTACTGACCCCAGACTTCTGAAGGGTAGTAATGTTCCTGTGGCTCAGTGGTAGAGCATTGTGTTAGCAGCGCAAAGGTTGTTGGTTCAATTCCCAGGGAGCACACATACTGATAAAAAAATGTATAGCCTGAATGCACTGTAAGTCGCTTTGGATAAAAGCGTCTGCTAAATGCATAAATTTAATTTAATGTATATTTAAGCAGTGTATGTGGTTGCAAAATCTTTTCTGATTTGTTTCTTAGACGATGGAGCCAGTGGAACAGCTTCTGCAGAGTGTGGATCCTGCCAAAGACAGAGAGCTCTGGGAAAAGGAACACAAGACGGGGGATCTGAGACCTGTGGACATGGACATCTAGACAAAACACACACACACACACACACATTATACTATATGAATCTACCTGCATGCCTGTCTACCTGAGTACTTCAACCTCTCAGCCAAAGCCATACAGGTATCACCCCTTGAAGCACTGCTTGTTTTGTGGATTTCCACTGAAAATATTAGATAATTACAAAATTACACAAAGCTTTATAGAAGATTTTCTTAATGTCATGTGGAATGAGTGACGGGAAAGGACAGCAGCACAGCAGACGCATTATGATACTGAGTAGCCATCCATATAATCCTTCATGTGCTTTGAATAATATGCTACTTAAGACTTCCCGGTATGTCAATTACATTAACATGATTCAAGTAGTAAAGGCACAATTGATATAGATCTGAACAAATACTGTACAGTAAAAGACCTCTTTGTTCATTTGCCGCAGTGGACTCCTGTTAAACAAACTTAATCCAATCAGTTTTTTTTTAATCTTTTTGGTGTTGAAACAGTGTACACACATTGAACTACACAGCTAGTTTGTAGATCTTTATAGTTGCCTGGACTAAAGCGTGAGTCAAACGTTTGAACACATGTAAGCAGACAGCTTCAGGATGCCATTATAGGTGTTCAAAGACCTCAAAAATGATTAATCCTTAGCAGAAATAACCAGCATCAAAGTTACGGGGTGGGGTGGGTGGGGGGAGTTAAAGCATATCATCGTTTAGTAGTTATATTGTTAAATCTGTATTGTATTTTTTTTTTTTAAGTTTTGTTTTTGCAACAAGGAATGCAGTGGAAAGTTTTTAATGCTATTTTCACAAACTCCACATAAACTGCTGGTGAATCTACAGCCTTCCTTATGAGAGAGGGATCAGGTTGCATTGGTTAAGTATGGGATTGATATATTTTCATATTTTTGCAGATTTATTTTACAGAAAAGCATGTTTTATCTAAATGTAGGACTAGTTGTGTATGGTTAATGGATGTGTAAGTTGAGTGGTGGTTAGTCCATTGATTGTGTTCATGAAAGATGTGTCAACTAGCCAGGACTCGATAGCAAAGTCATATAATTTTTTCCAGTTGAAGCCAAGAAATCCCCTTATGCAGCCAGATTTACTCTGTTGGCGTCTAAATTTCTTCTTAATGGTGAAATTATGTGGTTTGGCTGTAGAATCCGGGTGTCAATCAAAGGTGGATCAGATGTGAATTCTAATGATTTGTGTTATAATGTACACCTTTTAGTGCCTAAAGGTTAATTACCTTGGAATGTTCACAATCTATTGTGTTAAGTGTTTGTACATAATTGTAAATATGTGTGTGGCCTTTTTTTTTTTGTCTGTATTTGTTGTCAGGCTCATCCTACATCATGCTCACCTCTCTGTAGTGTTTGTCATACTATGTTTTAAAAGATATGTAAACATTTGATTGGATGCAACAGTTTTCTGCTGAATGCACATAGGCAGCTATTTATCACACTGTTCGAATCGCACAGCTCCAATAATGGAAGATAGATGAAACATTGCAATTTTCAAACTTTATACAGTAATATTGAGAAATTTGATATATTTATATAGCACAGGAAGTCAAAGCACACTTTGGGAAATGAAAATATCTGTGCTTTCATTCAAATTCCTATCAGATTTGTATTTATTTTTTTACTATCGGTCAATATAGGAAAAAAAACATTAGTGGTTAGAGTTAGATAAATACATCGCCCAATAAAAACAAGCATGGAATTAGTGTAAAAATAAATCTGCAAGTCACAAATAAACTCATGCACACCAGAAATACATGATTTGGATCATACGTGCACAGCTGAGAACATTGTAAAATGCACATTAACATGTCCTATAATGTGAAAGTAAATCTAAAATTTATAAGGAAAAATGCTGTACCATGAGAGGTAATGCATTCAGGTTATTATTTACTTTATCATTTGGAAGTTACTAACAGTCGCTCTCTTTTCACCTAACATGGGGTATGACTGGTTTACATTTGCTGTTTAGCATGTAACAAGTTTACTGTACTGCATTGCCCAAGCTATTCTAGAACTACATGTTGCAGAAGTTGTATTGAAACTTGATGTCAATGGTGTGCATTATGTGTATTCTGAAGAACCGTTCAGTTGAATGTCTGTGTTCCAAACTAGATCTTTTATATATATAATATTGTAAATGTTGATTTATTTGCTCTCAACTTAATAGTCTTCATTGATAATATTCATTTATCAACATGTTTATGAAGATATGATGTTTATGTTGAATTTGACCAGGAAATGACTACATTGTCTATAATAATAATAATAAAGAGCTCTAATTGTTTATCACCATTGAGGTTTCTTCTTTTTAGCAACATTAGCATGTAGTATTTAAGAATAAGAATTAAGAATACAAGCCAACTCCTAAATGGCTGTAAATGAAGAAAGATGTTTGTTTTTTTGCATGCAGAGTGTGTATAGCCTAACTTTTGCAGCTAACCAGCCAAACATTGGACCCCTGCTTCAAAACAATGGCAAACTAAACCAAAAACACATATTTCCATGAACAAGACTTACTTCAGGTCAATTTAATGCAACACTACTAAAAATAATGATCCTCTCAGGTGACCTTTTAGCCTCTGTTTTCCACCTGTCAAAAGCAGCCATGCTGCAGAGCTCTGCCCATTGTTTTGCAGCTCACTGTCCTAGTGCTGAAACCAGGCCATGCATTAGCCTGAGCTAAAGACGGCTTTAAGAAAAGAAGGAGGTAAGCCCCTGTGTTTCAGGCTTGTCCTTAGAGCTTTGGCCGTAAGCAGCGCCAACATGATAAAGATACACTCAGGGTGAGAGCCCTTTCTAGTATTCAAGTTTAGTAAGTAAACTTGATTAGAGACTCAAGACACTAATCTCACTCTGAACTCAATCCGTTAATTAAAGGTCCAGCTAAATATCCTTTTTGAAATAGCTTTGTTTTTGTGTGATAATATCGTGTACAAAAGTAGGTCAGTAACTTTCTGAAACAACAAGTGGTGGTTACATGATTTTACCAGTTACTTGCATTGAAAATCAGCTCAAAAATATATTTATGTACAGTATATTGAAACTGAATGATTGAAAAAAAAGAACATGAACAACGTGTTGACATCTGTACTCTTGTAAAACATCAGGCTGCTAAATTAATATACAAATACATGGACAGAAACCACACAGTCAGTCGTGACTGGCTTGTATATGGTTATTTCAATAGTACAACAGTCATCTTTGATCTGAAATGGGCTGAAACCAAGTTTTTAAATGGCTAATTGGCATTGGTGGATTGAGCAGTAATGATAGACTTATAAATGTTTAATACGTATTCCTAAATTTTCACATAAAAATTCTATAAAATTCTCATCACCATCTCTACACATTCTATGAAACACAGTACAAGAAATTTGTTCTTTAAAAATGATCCAGTCACCTGTTAACAGATGGTTTCATAGTCTGATGAATGCATGTTGAGCGCTTAAACCACCTTAACCCCAGGGGCGGGTCTACATGGTGGCCAGGGGTGGCACCGACCCCCACAGAAATCTGATTGCCCACCCCAGGTGCCCCGCTACCAGATATCTTGTGATTGGCTTGTTTTTTTTTATTTCTCACTGCATCTGGCAGTGGCGGATCCTGGCATGGGCAATATAGGTAGCTATATTCTTCTCTTCTATATACTTAATGTTAGGCAATTTCTATCGAGTTATGTTAATAACAAGACCAGAAGGGCTTTTTTAATTCAGACGAAGAGCAGGCTTATCCCACTAAATGGAAGCAAGCTGATTATAGTCAGCCTTCTCTAGTTATTTTATTATTTAATACTTATTTGAGTTAAGTGCTTATTGTAAATATGCATTTATTAAATTATTTTATTTAGTGCATTTGTATTTTTGTTGTTTTTGTATATAGTTATACAATAAAAGTGTATCAACCAGTCCCGGTTCCAGAAATAAATCACTGAGGTTGCTTCTGAAATTAGTGAGGGTGCTCTAGTCTTAATGCACATTTTCACATATTTTGTCCCATTATAGTTTTCACTATGTCAATCACTGCTATGTGAATCCCGCATAAATATGCAGATGCAATTCCCGAAACTTTGCAACGAGTGTGGCCGAAAAACAAAAGTTCTGCATTTTGAATGGATTATAGAAAGCTCTCAAAGAGCGCTCCCTTCATAATCACTAAAAAGCTGTCACTCTTTGTTCATTGCGATCACACAAAGTTGTGTTATGACCAATTAATCTCTCTACACTGTGCAATCAATCTATTATTTACATTGTGTATACACTCTATATGTTATAATTGTATAACTCAGCACGTTACAAAAACTGGTGTGTGTTGCCTTTAGGTATGAGGCAAAACCATATGTACTGTCATGAGGATGATGAAAGTGTTTTCATTTGAGTAAAGCTTTGAAGTCCCTTTAAGTATTTTCCTTCATTGAATATGTACAATTTCTCATGTGGTAACATGTAATTTATTTGATTTTATTCAACCCTCCCCCCCTCCCCCATTTAAAATGCTCTACACACGCCCCTCCTTAACCCTGAAGGGATCTAAAAGAGGAGAGCCACTGGACCCTGTGGATTTGTCTTACCCGACCTTCAGATTCTAAGAGGATTGAGCAGAGACTGTTAACACGAGCCTAATTCGATTGGACCTCTTATCGATTGGATTCTAAAAGCAATCGAAATAGCAGTGAGGCCCTTCAGGTAGAGGTGGTGATGGTGGTGGTCCAGAGCACAAGTCTTGCATGTGTTATAAGAAAAGCTAGGTTAGTCTGGTTTATGGCTTTGAAGTGTGTATGAATAGAGTGTCTGAATGTCTCCAGTGTGTGGCCTGGAGAATCAGTCTGGGTCGTGTAGGTTTGGTGTCAAATGAATGGAAATCAAGCTCTGATCAGTCTCATGGGAATGTGGTCATTAATGCTTCTTCTCCTTGAGTTTTTCCTGAATCTTCTTTGGCTCGTCGAACTGTATCAACCTCAAGATGTCTTTGTTTTCCATGACACCCTGAATGAATTCCCCCTCTCCAATCTTATCTATGAAGACAATAAGACATCGTGAGGATGTATTGATTACGAGAACACATCATGATCATGTAGTCTGCAGCAATAGCACATTGTGTGATGAGTTATTACCATCTTCTTTCTTTCTGAAAAAAGTCCAGATTTTGTCAGCTCGCTTTTCTGGTGTGTTCTCATCTTCCGGAAGGTTTTTCTGGTCTTCGACAGGAATCATGTTGAATATTGACTGTTACCGGGAGAATGCAAAATATTAAAATTCTGTCGCTCTTAACATAACACTAATGAATGACATATTGGAAACTACTGGCATCGGGCATGCTCAAGTGATTGAGACTTGTATTATCAGGTGGTGTAATCTATCCTGAGCTTCTTGAACCATCTGGTCACAAGTGTTGGACTAAATACTGCAATTTACCATGAGCAATGAATGCAAACAAACCCATTTAACGATCCCCAAGAACATCAGTCTTACACACTTTCCATACTCAATCAACAGCAAATGCAGGGTGTGCATTAAAAAGCCAATTATGAGCGATACTCACTCGTACGATCTCCTGCACCTCATTTTTATTGATGGTCCCATTGCCGTCTACATCATACAGAGCAAACGCCCATTCGAGTTTGCGCAGGGTCTTGCCTGACGAGGTAAGGTGCAGCGCCACAATGTACTCCTTAAAGTCCAAGGTGCCGTCGGCATTAGTGTCAAAGCTGCGGAAGACGTGCCGAGCGTAAGCGGTAGGGTCGGCATCTGGAAAGAAACTGGCATAGATGCCCTCGAACTGTTCCTTGGTGATGCGTCCGGAGGGACACTCTTTGAGGAAGGTGGCGTACCATGCGCAGAGCTCTTCCTCCGTGTATTTGGTGTTCAGCTTCAGATCATCCAGAATCTCCTTGGACAAAGCACCGCTCTTGGTGTTCCCCATATTCCCAAGCTGTACACGGGTCAAAGGGGCAGATTTGCTGAGTTTCCTTCTGCTTTCACCCACCCTCCTCTCTTGCCTCCTCTCTTGTCTCACGCTCTCTCTGCTTTCGGCGTTTCTTTCTCCAACCAGACAATGGGATGGCGTTGTATTGAGTGCTGCTGTTGGCCCCTCTTTGGGCTTGGCTCCCCCTGACAACTCCTCTAAGTGCTGAATGAGATTACGTATATCTCTATTTAAATCCAGACAGGCTTTCTGAAAGATTAGTTAGTTACGTCACACTACTTCTGATGAGTGTTGCATTATGTTGATTTGCTCCTTCACAACAGGGTCTTACAATACGAGGATAGCATACAAAACTCTGCCCTTTGCTACTGAATGACCTGTGTCATCAATTGAGATGAGCAACACGATTATCTCTAGAACAGTGGTTCCCATACCTGTCCTGGAGGACCCCCTGCCCAGCACCTTTTGTATGTCTCCCTTATCTAACACACCTGATTCCACTCATCAGCTCATTAGAAGAGACTGCAAGAACTAAATTGGGTGTGTCTGATTAGGGAGACATACAAAATGTGCAGGGCAGGGGGTCCTCCAGGACAGGTTTGGGAACCACTGCTCTAGAACATAATGAACAATCAGAATTGTTTAAGTTAGAATCAAGTCACAGCTAAAAATTCTGGGGTTTTTGTTCAGAGTGCTGTCTGCTCACTCTAATCTTCTCTCATTAACAATGACACGACGTAAGAGATTCATTATACAGTGTAGACAACTTTATTGATTTTAATGGAATGTTGTGACATTGCGAACTAAGATGAGTGAAAGCTTTCTAGTGATTGTAAAGTGAGCAGTCTTTCACACTTACGAAGCTATACAGCTATAAACCACTGAATAAAAGTATCGTTTTTCATGCTGCCAAGAGAACCGGCTGCAAGTTACACGCTGCAAAGTTTTGGAGATGACATCTACATATAAATGTGTGATTAACTCCCGAAAATACAATCAACAGTGACAGTAAAATGAAAATGTGAATTTTTAATAAACTTGTAGCTAAAGTTCAGCTAAATATTTAACTGTCCATCTGATTAGTAAAATTAAAATGTATGACTCTGCAAATCCATTAAAATAATTTACAACAACTGCAAACAACAAATGAATTGTGATTTTTATACAGACATTGATGCATGTGCAACAACAATAATGTGCATAGTTCTGATCTACTTAATATAACTTCTTAATCATAATATGGTTAGTTTCTATTAACATCGAAGGTTATATGCTTAATATGTAGCTCTGTTTGACACATTTTGTATTGGGGGTCCCTGCTCCATGTCTCTATCACCTAAAGGGTCCTTGCCCTGAAAAATGTTGAAGATCCCTGGACTAGGTCAATAACAAGATGTGTAAAATCCCGGAGGTGCATTTATGAATGAGTTTACACCTCACAAGTTGTTATTTTATCTTCAGAAATATGAACAGTGTGGTGATTCATGTTATAGTATGGTGTGGGACTCTTCAAGAAGCACTATTTTGGGGCTTTGACATCTGGCATCACACGTCATCATTTCCTGGTCCAGATGCCAAAAGCAAACAACAAAAGGTGCTAATATACACTTGCAGTGCTGTAATACTACCAAAAAAACGTTTATCTCCATACCGAAATCTCAGTTGGCCAGACAGCGATTCATCTTTTATGAATCGTTAAAATAGTGGTGTCCAGGACATCATGAGGACACCATGAGTTTTTTTTAAGCTTAGCTTAAATGTGTGCTATAAATGAATAGTGGTCATAAACGAGTGTTTGAGATAATAGACAAGTAGAGACTTTGACCCAGAAATGGTATTCCTTATGTCATGACTTAACAAGTGGATAGAGACTCGAAATCAAGTCATGGGGCCTGACATGGGAGACCATCTTTTTTTTTTGGGAATGCCCCATGTGTTTCAACTACCCATCTGAGCAGCAGTTGCTTCCTTATCATAATAGTAAATTGGTTCCATACATTCTTAAAAATAAAGGTTCTTTATTAGCATCTATGGTTCCATGAAGTACCTTTAACATCCATGAAATCTTTCCATTCCAAAAAAGGTTCTTTATTGTGCGAAAACATTCTTCACACTAAGAAAAAAAATGGTTCTTTTAAAAACTGTTTACTGAAAGTTTCTTTGGGGAACAAAAACTGGTTCATCTATGGCAGGGGTGTCCAATCCTGCTCCAGGAGGGCCACTGTCCCGTACAGTTTTTAACTAATCAAGCTCTTACTAGAAACATCCAGGCAGGTGTGTTGTGGCAAGTTGAAGCCAAACTCTGCCAGACAGTGGCCCTCCAGAACCAAGTTTGGACACCCCTGTTCTATGGCAAACCTTTATTTTTAAGAGTATCCTTGGCTGGTTATGCCGATACATTATGGCAAAACTAACAGGCATAGAGTTGATGTATATTAGACCAAATCTGCAGCTAGCAAAGAAGCTGTCTGCACTGAAAGCGGCTGTTGTGGCGCAATGCAGTTTCATTTGGTTTTGACTGAACGGTTCGGTCGGCCCATCTCGGGACCAGGCGGCCGGCCGTGGCCGACTGGGCAAAATGCTTAACATGTATTTATTATTAACATTATTATTATTATTATAACCATAGAGAAATCGTGCAAGCGATAAAACCCCGTCCTATGCACTGTTGGCCCGTAAAAACAATTTTATTGATATATATTTAGAAAAAATCTGACCGGCACCACATTAAACAAAATGGTCCGGCCCCTCTGGCATTTGCCAGAATTGCCAGATGAACAATCCGCCCCTGGTGGGCGGGAACTACAGTCGCAGAGCGGATCCGGGCCGCGTCCGTGGAAACGAGCGCGCGTTTTTTCTGGAGTTCAGTTCAGCACAGAAGACGTCAAGACTATCGAGGCAGATACAGACTGCTCGCTGTTATCCTCAAAAACCTCACCAGCCTCACCGTGTGATCAAACTGTTCTACTAATAAATGAATTTCTTATTTTGTAGTGTACTCGATAACTTAAAGCAGACCCGGCGCCAGACACAAATTCACGGACGGGCATTTCATTTTTTCAAGGGGGCACAAACGAGATCAACCTCATTGCAATGCATAATATCATTAATTATGAATTAAATGGAGAAAAAACGAGGAAGGCTTGACGTACCACTCCAGAGGAGTCGTAAAGATTGGACCTAGCCTACTGAAGCAGTCTAAACACGCATCGCAGGGCTCGACATCAACTCTTGTCCGCTTATCCGGGACAAGTGGATTTTTTAAAAGGCCAAGTGAAAGAGAATTTTACTTGCCCGACCGGACAAGTAGCCTAGCCTGATTAAAACGCCAATAACAATCACCAAAACGCGATAATGATTCTGCATCATTTAGTCTAAATGGCGATCGATAGTGCATAATGTAATGACGCTAACAAGGCTGCGCTGCCTCTCTCGAAGAGAACTCGAAACAAATGAGCGCAGCAAACACAAAGTGAGTTAAACTCAGTTAACATACTGCGGTAAAAATAAAAAATGTGGCGTTTTTATAACATGATACAGTTAAGCAACATCACACGACCAAGAGTGCTGAATACCATCACGATTGAAAATGTGACACTGATTTCATATGACAGTTCACTAAACAAGTAATTAATATTAAGTCACTTACATTTTAGACGCAATATTGACTGTTTTTGTTGTTTCAGCAGCGAAAATGATTCAAACAAAGATCACAGCAGAACCATAAGGCGTCAGTCTCACAGCAACACTCAACCGTGTTTTCATTACTGAATGATTCAGTGTTTTGAACGAATCGGTTGAGTCAAAGATTCAACGACCCATTCATAAACAACTGCCTCATTCTTGATGAATCAGCCGTTTGAACGATTCGTTTGAATGAATGACTCAATGACTCGCTTAATAAGACCGCTTATCACCTGCCGCCACCTACTGGTGGTTTAGTTTGTTTAAAAGTGGCATTCTTTCCAACATTTCTTATTTGTATATTCAAAAAAATATTTAAAACAATATCATAACATTATTTAATGTAAATTATTTAGTGTAAATTATTACATTTGATTGGTAACAGCCCTATAGTGTCTTATTCTAGTTTAATTTATTGATCAAAATTAAGAATTTAAAATGAAAGATGAAGCATATATTTAAAAATATAAGGGGAAAATGCCCTTTATAAAGGTAAAAATATCACAAATATGCATATTTAAATATGTCAAAGCTGATTGAGATCTGATGAGAATATTGCTTCATAATCAATTATATACAACACAATTGTCACTGTCAAGCCCTGACACATTTTATTTATAACTCAGTTAACATACTGCGGTAAAAATTAAAAATGTGGAGTTTTTATAACATGATACAGTTAAGCAACATCACACGACCAAGAGTGCTGAATACCATCACGATTGAAAATGTGACACTGATTTCATATGACAGTTCACTAAACAAGTAATTAATATTAAGTCACTTACATTTTAGACGCAATATTGACTGTTTTTGTTGTTTCAGCAGCGAAAATAGTTAAAACAAAGATCACAGCAGAACCATAACGCGTCAGTCTCACAGCAACACTCAACCGTGTTTTCATTACTGAATGATTCAGCGTTTTGAACGAATCGGTTGAGTCAAAGATTCAATGACCCATTCATAAACAACTGCCTCATTCTTGATGAATCAGCCGTTTGAACGAATCGTTTGAATGAATGACTCAATGACTCGCTTAATAAGACCGCTTATCACCTGCCGCCACCTACTGGCGGTTTAGTTTGTTTAAAAGTGTCATTCTTTCCAACATTTCTTATTTGTATATTCAAAAAAATATTTAAAACAATATCATAACATTATTTAATGTAAATTATTTAGTGTAAATTATTCAATTTGATTAGTAACAGCCCTATAGTGTCTTATTCTAATTTAATTTATTGATCAAAATTAAGAATTTAAAATGAAAGATGAAGCATATATTTAAAAAGATAAGGGGAAAATGCCCTTTATAAAGGTAAAAATATCACAAATATGCATATTTAAATATGTCAAAGCTGATTGAACTCTGATGAGAATATTGCTTCATAATCAATTATATACAACACAATTGTCACAATGTCAAGCCCTGACACATTTTATTTATTTGTTCATTGTTACAGCCTATATATTTTGTTTTACATTTTGATTTTTAAAAGGCAGGGACTTTATAAAATAGTCAAATATAAGCAAC